TTTCCTGGCGTGGTGTGACGTGGCACCGCATGTCTAACAGTTTATGGTACGTGCATGAGACACGAGAGAGACATGGGCCAGGAGGAGATGCGGCATGGGGCAGGCAGGGCATGGGGGATCGGGCACACAGCATGTGGCACGGAGGATGCGGCACGTACTCTGTCAAGCGAGGAGCAGGGCCCGATGGCCCCCTGCACCTTGATGTCCTTGGAGCAGTGCACCTCGAATATGCCACTGCTCTCACACACACGCACAACAATGGCGCAGGGAAGGGAGGGGAAGGAGAAGGGTACGGGGAAAGGGAAGGGACAGGGGAATGGAAAGGGGAAGGGGCAGGGGCAGGGGAAGGGCAAGGGGATTGGGAAGGGGAAAAAGGTGGGAGAAGGGGAGATTTTAGGGCTGCTCGTACAGCAAGCCATGAATCAAAGACTATACGAGCAGCCCCAAAACTGACAGCGGCAGAGCAAGCACCACTTGGCGCTCATCTTGCAAACTGACTCTACAGGCACTAACAGCAGCGTCTGGCCTCTTGGACAAGGCCGGGTCAGCCAAGTTAGTCAAACCGGATCGACGACAGAAGTTGGAGGCTGCGCATCAGAGGTTTGATTTCAAGAGAGGCTGACTTGAAGGAGAGGCCGAGGGAGGTATCGCCGGTGTCGAAGACCCTCTTGAGCGAGTCCTTGAATACTGGATGGCCAAAGCTCTCCGATAGCACGACCAGCCCGCCTGACTTCTCCACCGCCACCTTCATCTCCGCTATGCCCACCTGGTGGGGAGGAGAGGGGGAGAGAGGAGAGGAGGTGGGATTGGGTTAATGGGGGTGTGATCAGTTGAGGAGAGGTGGCCACCACCAGCCCGCCTGAATTCTCCACCGCCACCTTCATCTCCGCTATGCCCACCTGAGGTGGGGCAGAGAGGGACGAGAGGGGCAAAGAAGAGATGCGAGAGGGAGAAAATGAGGGGGAGGGAAAGGGGGAGGAAGGACAGGGGATCGGGAGGGGAGGGGAGGGATGCGGAGTTGGGTAGGGAGGAGGGGGAGAGCAGGGGGGAGAGGAAGGTGGAAGAACGGTTAGTGAGGTGGCAGTGGGGTGAAAGGGGGTGTGATCCGGTGATGACAAGATGGTGCATAGAGGGAATACGTGTGCGAGGATATTTGAGGCAGTACGGCAGAGGAGAGGAGACAGGGACGAGGAGAAAGAGAGGAGGCAGAGACGAGGAGGGAAAGAGGCACGGGGGAGGAGGCACAGAGGAAACGGGAGAGAAGAGGAGGGACAGGGGAGCGAGCGAGGGGCACCTGGTCGAGTGCAGAGGAGAAGAGGTCAAGCACGTGGCCCTGAGCCACGAGCTGCTTGAAACGAGACGACCTTTTGAGGCTCCTGAAAAACAGCACGCAGCACCTGTCACCTCGCTAACGCACCCACCCACCCACCTGGTCGAGCGCGGAGGAGAAGAGGTCGAGCACGTGGCCCTGGGCGACGAGCTGCTTGGCGAGCCCGTCATAGAACTTCACGGCCTTGCTGTAGTGCACCACTGCGTCCTTGTCCAGGTCCTTGTGCGACCGTATCGGCTCCGATAGATCCCGCCCCACTATCTGTGCGTGGGGGTGGGGGCGGGAGGGGGGGATGGGGGAAGGGATGGGGAGGGAGGGAGCGGAGCAGGCGAAGGGATTAGATAAGGTAGGGGGAAGGCGGGGCAAAATCGAGGGTGAAAAGAGAGGGGGAAAGGGGTGGTAGAGGGATGTATAGAGGGCGGGGGGAGGGGGGGAGGGAGGGGAAGAGAGAGGGGAGGGAGGGGGGAGGGAGGGGGGGAGAGAGGGGAGGAAGGGGGGGGGGGAGGGAGGGGGAGAGAGAGGGAATGGAAGGGAAAGGGAGGCGGGAAGGGAGGGGCGAAAGGAGGGGAAGAGAGGGAAAGGGAGGGGAGTGGGGGGGGAGGGAGGGGGAAACGGAGGGGGAGAATGGAGGGTGGAAGGGTGTGGGGAGACAGACAGAAAGGCATACAGACAGACACATGTCGGCACAGCCAAGCCCCACCACCTTTCCCATTCCTCTCTCCATTCCCTCCCACTCCCCACCCCTTCCATTCTCCCCATCAGCCTGCCTCCCTCTCCATTCTTCCCTCCACAGCACCAACCCACCCGGCCTCTACGCACGCACCATGCCAGGCCCTTCCGTGCAGGGGCCACCAACAAAACTGAGTATCCTCGCCCCCGTGCCGGGAACACACGCGCCCAGCAGCGCCGTCGCCACGCTCAGCGCCGTGCCCGTGCACCTGGCAGGCCTCTCCCCCAGCGGCACAGGGAACGCGTCCCTGCTCAACTCATCCAGCACCGTCGCCACTGTGAACTCACACTCCTGCGCCGGGAGTAAAAACCGCGCCACTCCCGCTGCCGGCACCCCGTCCCGCATCCCCCCCGCTCCCGCACCCGCCCCCACTCCCCCAGCCCCTCCCGCTCCCCCTGCCCCGCCCGCTCCGCCCCCCGCGGCTCCTGCTGCTCCGCCTGCGGCGCCTGGGCCGGAGAGGCCGAGCTGTTGAACGATCTGCTGGCGGGACACGTCCTTGGTGCCGCGGAAGATGAACATTTTCGGGCAGTCGGAGAAGCCCAGCTCGTGCACGTGCACCTGCGTGCCGTATGTGATCAAGCCTAGCAGCGCGTTCTCAGGGAGTAGACCGATGGCCTGTTTGGAGCCCCGGAGGGGAAAGAGGAGGGGGGAAGGGGGGGGGGGAGGAGGGAGGGGAAGAGTGGGAGGCGAGGGCGGATGGAATGGGTTTTTTGAATGGATTGGGACGGGAGGGGTAGGTGGAGTGGGGTGGATGGGCGGGTGCCGGAGCGGGGAGGACAGGTTTAGAGGCGCGGGAGGTGCGCAAAAGCGTGCTGTGTGTGAATGTATGCGCGCGTGGCGATGTTTCCGGCAGGAAACCTTTGGGCTGTTGGGTGGTTATACACGCGCGCGCACACACGCCCACACACGCGCTCACACGCACGCGCCCACCCAGCGACGCACCTGCGAGACGGCGGCCTTGAGGTAGTCCAGCTCCTCCTCTATGAGGCACAGGTCGAGCAGGAAGAGAAAGACGGGGTTCCCCGGCAGGAAACATATGGGCTGTTGGGTGGTTTCACATACACTTGCCCACACGCCCATTCGAGGACGCACCTGCGAGATGGCGGTCTTGAGGTAGCCCAGCTCCTCCTCTATGAGGCACAGGTCGAGCAGGAAGAGGAAGACGGGGTTGACGGGCGGGCCCACCGTGGGCAGCGTGTACTCGATCGTCGTGTACTGCGGAAACAGCTCCGCCGGCAGGTTCGACTCCGAGATCGCCGCGTAGTGCGGTGGAAAGTGGTTGCGCTGCGCGCGGGATTGCGCGTGGGGAGGAGCGGGCGAGGGCGAGGGAGAGGGGGGAGCGAGGAAAGGGGGAGGGGAAAAAGAGAAAGGGGAACAACGATCAGCAAATAGTCTCGGCTTCTCGAAGCGCATTGCGGACTCAATCTGGAACCGAAGGGCTTCAATTGCGCCACATAATACCCAGCGCAATGTCGACTCATTCGAACCCTTCCCCCCAAAAGACCCATTTCAGATGAGCAAGTAATCGGCACAACGGCACCAGCAGCAGCCACTTCGCGAATTCAGGAGCACGTGGACCAGCAGCAGCAGCAGCAGCAGCAGCAGCAGCGGCGGCGGCAGCAGCAGCAGCGGCAGCAGTAGTACCTGGTAGCAGAAAGGGCAGATCCACATCTTGCCGATGAAGTCCACGCGCGCGAATGGGTTCAGCACGGAGCGGCACGACTTGCAGCGGATGGGCTCGTACGGAAGCACGGGCATCTCGGGCAGGCGCTTCGCGGGCGTGTAGACCGCCGCGAACGGCACCACGCACTTGGTCGCTTCCACCTTGGAATTCGGCCACACGTTCCACGTCAGCCGCACCGCGTCCACCGCCTCGAGATCCGAGAAATCTGGTGTCGCCATCGGGTCAGCGGATTAGAGACTATGGGGCGAGAGATTGATGCGGGAAAGAGGGGGAGGTGGTGAAAAAACCGACGATCGACGTCAACTAGGGTACGGGCGATGGTAATCCGGTTGAAGGCAAACAAGAAAATCGCCTGCTACTGGTTAAAAACAAGGATCTGCTCCGATACAATTTCTTGAGGCGCCTAAACAAGGATCTGCTCAAAATCAATTTAGTTGTGAAATTTGTTGGCTGCGGTAAGCCGTGGTGGGTGGGAGGCACGGCTTTCTCCCTGGTCAGGTCACACTGCACTAGGAGAATAAATTGCTTCCTAGCCTAATAATTGACGGGGAGCGACACAGAATGCGCAGCAAATCTGCTTCGGTAAAAGTCGGTCTGCGCAAGTTAGTGGGTTCAGCCAAGGGTGTGCGTTCCAGCCCAGCGGGAGTCAGGATGCTCAGATTCCGCTGGGGCCAGAGTGAGCGGGTGAACGGGTGAACGCGATCACCTTGGAGGAGGCGGCGGCAAGAAAAACTGGTTTGGTTTTCGCCTGCGACTAGCCAACGGCTTCAACGGCTGGGCTGCGAGCGTACGACAGCATGCGAGGTCGCAACTGGTAGGTTTGGCGTCGCTTGGGCCAGACCAGTGGCACGTGGAGCCATCGAGGCAAAATGAGCTTGATGCCATTTTGGGGGGGGCTGGGGAAGTCCAAACGGCATTCCCAAGGGCGGGAAATTGCAAGAAACACGCAACGTGTATGACTACAAGAGGTTCCTATTGTCAGCTTATCTTCACAGGTTGGTACATGAACGAACATTGTTGTTTTGAATGGCATCACGAAATGCCGTCTTTTAGATGGTTTTGTTCAACGGTAGTTATTGTAATAATGAAGAAGAAAAGAAAAGAAAAGAGAAAGGGAGAAGGAAAGTGAAACCGCCAAGAAGAACCCAAATGCAACACACATAAAACCCCCCCTCAAGATACCCAATCAAAACGCCCAGTCAAGACACCCTGTCAAGACATCCCATCCCACACCCCATTCCCCCCCCCCCCCCCAATCACAACAGCGAATCCACCATGTACGGGGCCTCCACCCAGAGAGCCCCGCCTTCCGCATCGCCATCGTCCCACTCCCGGTCCACCAAGTCAACGTTGTTGTCCTTAGGCAAACTTTGCATTATTGGAAACACACTTTGAATTATTGGAAACATCAGAACTGCCTACCCTGGCCTACAGATCTCTCTACATTCGTCTTACTTGTTGCAACCATTCCGAAGAGAAGAAAGAGCAGCTGTAAGGCGAGGGGATGGGTTTGCCTGAAGCCCATGCCGCGCATGTCCCGCAACCACTCCAGATGGATTCTGCACTACTCCTTTCTTCTGCACAAAAGTCGCTGCCCCAGCTACTGCTGCTGCTTTTGTTCCCACTTTTTGACACAGACCTTCGCTCGGAGTCGTGCCTGCCTTCAGCATTCCCGGGACACAAGGAGAAGCCTGGCCAGCAGCATGAACAGCAGCCATGGCAGCAGCAACCTTGCCACTTCTGATCCGAGCCAGCACGGCTTTTGGCCCAAGGGAAGAGGGCACAGCAGCCACAGCAGCCCGTGCAGCATCCACCACACCACCAGGCACAGCAGCGAGTGCTTTTGTGACTGCCACGGAGTTGCTAGTTGGATTCGCCTTGGCTGCAGACGTGAGGCTGGATCCAGGGGCAGGTCCAGATTCTACAATTGCTGCCTTGTTGGCCGTGGCGACAGCCCCTTTCCCACCAGGACCAGATGTATTGATGGTTGCTGCAGCAGCACCGGCAGCAGGAGGGGGAGTTGAATTAGGGGTGGGAGCAGGAGGAGCAGTGGAATCAGCAGTCGCGGTCGCCTTCTTGGTGACTGTGGCAGGTGGGCTGGACTTCGCATTTTTTGTGGTCCTGGTTGCGGAATTGCCCGAAGCAACAGCAGCAGCAGCAGAAGGTCTGACTAAAGTTTTTTTCTTCTTGGGCCCAGGTTTTCCCGAAGAAGCTGCGGTACGAGAAGCAGCAACAGGATGGGGTGGTGCTGCTGCTGCAGCACCACCAGCTGCAGCGGGAGATTTCCGAGAGAGGGCATGAGTAGCAGCAGGCACAGCAACTTGAGTTGAACCACCTGCTGGTGCTGGTGCTGCTGCTGCTGGTGCTGCCGGTGCTGCTGCTGCTGCTGCTGCTGCTGGTGCTGCCAGTGCTGCTGCTGCTGCTGCTGCTGCTGCTGGTGCTGCCGGTGCTGCTCCTGCCGGTGCTGCTGTTGCTGTATTATACGCACCTGCTGCTGGTGCTGCTGCAGCTGCTGTTTCTGCCACTGCTGCTCCTGTGGCAGCCGCTGCTGGTGCTGGGACTTCTGCGTGGGTGGCAGTGGTGGCTTCTCCACACAGATCGTTGCTGCTGCTGCTGGGTGTGTCCGAATCCATCTGCTCCACCGGCTGTGCCTGCCACAGGGAGGAAATGGAAGCATTGCGAGGGGCACAGGGACTCAAGCATCCACAGCCGTTGAAGGCTCCAGCAATCTTGAGCATGAAGGGGTGGGTGAGGAAACGAGGGGAGCAAGGGGATTAGATGACGAGAAATGAAGGGAAAGGAAGCGGGACGGCGAAGGACAAGGGAAGAGGGGTGGAAAGGGGGAAAGGGGAAGAGAGAAGGAGGCTGAGGGGGAAGTTGGTAGGAGATAGAGGCAAGAAGGCGACTGAAGCAACGCTTACAGCAGGCACGGTCTTGACTGGTGAGCCTCCGAAAGGCGAGTCCTCTGCAAGCCATCCAAACACATCCACGTCCAGGAAATTCGCCCCCCCTGCATTACCACAACCTGCCCCATGCATAAAGTAGCTTACACCCTCCTCTCCCCTCTCCCTCGCCTGCTGTCTACCCTGCTCAGCCACTCCCCCGTCTGTTCCTGCCCCTCCTGCTCCCCCTCCCCCTGTGCCACTGGCACTAGGAAGCCCACGGACGGCAGCAGGCAAGGCGGGAGTGGGAGCGCAAGGAGGGTGGGAAGGCAGGGCGAGGTCGAGGACGAAGGAGGAGAGCCCGTGGTCGTCATCACGGAGCAGTGAGTCCGAGAACAAGGCCTCTGCTTCTGCATCCGCCACTACGTCCCCTTGCACACCTGAACCCTGCTCTTCCTCCTTCGTCGTCTCCTCACCTTGCACTCCCCCCTCCGCTCCCCCCTTTCCTTCCATGGTTGCTTCGCGTGATCCGGTTTCCACTTCCGTCAGGGGAGAAGGAGCAGCAGCAGCAGTGTGAGGGTCAGGCGAAGGTTCAGCAGCAGCAGTAGCATTGAGAAGGAAAGCAGCAGCGGCGTTGGCAGCAGCCGCAGCACCGGCGGTAGGCATGGTGGCAGACACAGAGGCGACAGGAGTGCGGTGAACAGGAGCAACATCCCTACCAGCACCACCGCCACTGCTGCAGTTATTGCAGTCGATGCGGTTACTGTTCTCACCACCGTTTCTGCTGTTACCGCTGTTACAGCTAGTGCCACCAGCAAGAGCATCGGCTCCCTTCTTGTCAGGATGCATCGCAATGGTGAGATTCCACTGCCTCTTCACCGCAATATGTTCTGCTGGACCTGCGGGGATGGCAGATGACGCAGCAGCAGCGGCGGCGGCGCCACCATCAGTGCCATTCCCAGCAAGGGCGGTGGCCAAGGGAGCGGCAGTAGCGCATTCAGCAGCTTGGGCTAGGCTGGACTGACGGTGCTCAGTGCATGAGACAGCTTGCGAGGACGACGGACCCGTGCTGTTGCTATTGCTATTGCTGGTAGTGGTCGTGGTCGTGGTGGGAGTGGTTGGAGCTGGGTGCAGTGGTGGCAGCGCGGAGAAGGAAGGGCCCTTGGCGCTCTCCATCACCAATGCCTCTAGCTCTTGCAGACTGCCCATACCTCCACTCCCACAACTGCCATCGTCGCCAGTATCAACAGCACCAGCACCACCGCCAGCACCAGCAGCAAAGGAAGCATCCGTAGAGGCCAACACGGCAGCATCAGCGGCAGTGGCAGCAGCAGCGGAAGCAGCCATGGCAGCAGCAGGGGCAGTGGCAGGAGCAGCAGCCAGCGCTGGTACAACTGTGTTGCTGCTGGCAGGAACACCCAGGAGAGGAGTTGAGTGGTGGTGGTATGCTTGTGAGGCACAGTGGAAGGATTGCGATGATGTTAACAATGATGATGACGGGTGTGGGAACACGTGCTGGGGTTGAGGCGTGCCTTGGGACGCTTGCACCCATGTTCCCTGTTGTAGAGGAGAGCAGGGAGAGATTCGGGGTGGAGAGGGGAGGGGAGGGGAAAGGGGAGGGGGAGAGTTGTGACTGAGAGAATGAGGAAGAGGTCGGAGGAATGATGGCAGGAAATACCAGATTTGTGCAAGGTGCATGGTGCACGGTGCATGGTGCATGGGGTTGGCAAGCTGCAAGCTGCAAGCTGCAGGGTGCAGGCAGTTACCTGGGGTGTGCACCACATGGATGGCGAGGATGCCCCATAGCCCCCTGCTGCTGCTGATCCAGCAGGAAACGCCATGCTCATGCCCATGCCCATGCCCATGCCCATGTCAAAGCTCGACCGTCCTTCAAACACAGCCATCTGCGGCTGCTGGTAGTGAAACGTGGGTGCCTGAGGCTGGTTCATCGGTGCTGCTGCCGGCACCATCCCCCACCCTCCCTGCTGCTGCTGCTGCTGCTGCACAGGCACGCCCATGGCTGTTGCCCCAACCGCCCCTCCACCCGCAACCCCCATGCTCATATCCATACCCATTCCCATTCTTACTCCCATGCCCATACTCATCCCCATTCCCAAGTTCATGTTTACGCCCATGCCCATGCTGCCGCTGTTCATTGGAAACACTGCTCTTGCTCCAGACCAACCAGTAATCCCTCCCATCCCCATTCCACCCTGTTCGGTAATAGCCATCCCATTGGCAGCCATCCCAACGCCATTAGCTGGCATGCCGTGAGAAATGGCACCGCCCATGCCACCCATGGTCATGGTGCCTGCGCCCAAAGCCCCTGGCCCTGCCATCAGTGGCATTCCCAAAGGCACCGGCTGACTGGCACAAAAGAAACCACCGGAAGCAGCAGCAGCAAGAGATGGTGCGAAGGGCGAGGAGTAGGAGGAATAGGAGGGGCAGGAGGGGTAGGAAGGGTAGGAGGACGGGTAGGAGGGCGGGTAGGCGGAGGGGTAGGAGGAAGGGTAGGAAGGCTGGCAGGAAAAGGGAGCAGGCATGATGGTTTTGAGTCCCTTGCTGCTGCTGGCTCTGGCGGCTTGCAGTGACCGCAAGGGCGGGTGACACGAGGCCACGGAGGGAGCAGCAGATGCTGCTGGAGCAGAAGTTGCTGGCGCCACCGTTGCTGCCGCCGCCGCCGCTGCTGCTGCTGCTGCTGCTGCTGTTGCTGTTGCAGCGTTTGCACGTGTTGTGTTATCAGACCTCCTGGTTGCTGCGAGCGGGCATGAAGGGGAAGGTGAGGGCCTCTTGGCGAGCTTGGTGGTGGCGCCTTGGGCGACAGACGCGGAGGAGTGGGACGAGCGGATGGGGGACGAAGGCGAGGAGGTTGGGAGGGAAGCGGACGAGGGGAGCGCAGAGGCAGAGGCGGAGGCAGAGGCAGCTGGGACTAGGGACGGTGTAGACGACGGGGCGGACTCGCCTCTTGAGAACTCGTCACCATCAGCAGTAGCAGCAGCGGCAGCAGAGGCAGTGGCAGTAGAAGCCATAGTGGTAGCAGCAGCAGACGAAGTGGCAGCAGCACCTGGCGCATTAGCAGCCACTGCAGTCCCAGGAGCAGCGTCAGCGCAAGCGCCTTCATTCGCCGTAGCATCTGCACGTGCAGCAGTGGAAACAGGAGATACAATTCCGTTGCCAGCAGCTGCAGCAGTGGCGCCAGAGTCAGCAGGAGCAGAAGCGGAGGGCGCGGCGGAGGCAGAGGAGGAACACGGGACGAGAACGGGCAAAACAGCAGAGGGTAGAGCAGCAGCAGAGGGCGCAGCGGTGCTGGCACCTGAAGCAGTGACAATAACTCCCTCGCCCTCCTCCTTGTCGCTCCTGATTTCGTCTCCACCGCTACGCTCACAGCTCCCACTGCTGCCACTGCTTCTCGCATGCCCCGCCTCGCCATCTCGCTGATACAGCCCGCCGCGTCGAGTTTCATCTTCACCTCCCGTTTCGTCTTTGTCTCGTCCTTCGCCTCCTGTTTCATCTCCTGAAACAGCCTCGTGAAAGTGCGCATCGTCGCGCGTCGCCTCGCGTCGATCCGCATGAGCCTCTCGACTCTCCTCCCTGCTCATCTCGCCACATTCCGTCGCTTCCCGCGCGGCGGTGTCAGCGCCAGAGCCAGAGTCCGCATCGGCGTCAGCGCCAGCGACAGTGTCCGCGTCCGCATCACCGCCCGCATCCGCGTGAGCGTGAGCGTGGGCGTTTGCGTGGGCGTGGGGAGTATCACTCGTTCCCGTCGAGCCGCGTGTCGCTGCCAGGTCGGACGAGTTCTGCGAGCCGCGCGAGCTCTCCTCCGCGTTTTCCCTGGGATCTGCCTCGCCACTCCCGACATCGCAACGACCCTCGCGATACCGTATCATTGCACCGCAGCAATCTGCCAGCTCTGACCCTTCCACAACGCCTCCCAATCTTCCCTCTCTCCCCTCTCTTCCGCCCTCTGGTAAGGCCATTAGGCCACCAGCGGTCACCGCAGTATCACCATCCACATCAATGTGTCGAGCATCATCAACGGTACGCGCTTTTTCCGTCCTTGGCCAACACTCCTGTTCCGAACGCCCTTCTCCATCAGCCATGGGGACCACGGCGGCGGCGGCGGCAGAGACGCCAAGAGGCAGACCGTCCAGATCGCCTTGCATTAGGATCAACTCGTCAAGCGTCATTCCCTCGCCATCGCCCTCCCAATCCATCTCACCGTCCCCCTCGCCCGTCTCCTCCTCCGTCCCCTCTCCGTTCCCCGCTTCCGCCACAGCCACTCCGCCCGGCTGTCCTTGTAAGCGTCCGCTCTCGCTCGTCTCAGATTTCCGCCCTTCCTCCGCTTCCCCAGGCCCGCCGCCCGCCCAGCCTTGCCCATCCCCGTCACCTCTGCGCCGCGGCATGTCCACCGTCACGGCATCATTGACGGTAACGGTAACGGCTTCACCCTCCGCGTCGTCTGCATCGCCAGCGCGTTCCGGACCACCGTCCGGTCCCGTCTTCTCACCGCCGCCTGGCGTCAGACTCATGACAGTGGTGACGTCGGAGCTCACGTCACACTCCCCTGTGGTTATTACCACTGCGACATCCGGAACGCCAGCAGCATCAGAAGGGACCTCAAACGGTGTTTCCACCACGCCGCCTCCGCGCGCATCGCAGTTCCCATCAAGAGGCTCGGCCGCGGCGGAAGCACCCGCGAGTTGAGGAAAGTCCTGATCTCCGCTCTCTGTCTGGCGCGCTCCGGTAATCCCAGTGCTCGACCTCACTACGTCCCCTGGACCCGGCCGCAGCACCGGGTCTCGCTCCCTCGCGTTCGCTTCCGCGATTCCTCCGGCGATCGTCGCCCGCTCACGCGTCTCGCGTTCATCGATGCCGTCGTCAGAAGGTGCGCTCGGAGTGGACAACCGTGGACGCTTCTGCGGCCTCAGGGAAGCTCCCGCGCATCGATGATCGTTCTCCGGAGTGGAACGATCGGAACGGTCAGACTCGGCTTGGCGGCACTTTTCTGGGGTCGATGGCTCAGGAGATTCGACCAGGGTAGCAGAGGCCTGGGTATGAGAGAGTTTAGCAGAGGCCGGCGTAGGAGGCGGAGAAGAGGACGGGGTAGCAGAGGACGGGGTGGGAGAAAAAGCCGCAGCGCGTACTACCGTCGCATTCTCCGTACTAGTAGCACAACTGTCGCCCACGACCTCGATACTCGTTCCAACTTTCCCGTGTCTAGCCAATCCGTTCTCATCCGTCCCCTCTCCGTCGTCCTTGGCTGCCCTCGTATGCTGACGATCGGCTTTTGCGGGACAGCTGTGCTCCAGCGACTCGGAGGCTACGACATTCACTGCAGCCAGCATCCCGTTTCCTAGCATTACTAAGCAGGGCAATAGTCGCGACGCGTTCTAACCCTCTCACTCTATTTCTCTTACTCGGTCGTCCTCCCTTTCTCTCTGTCTCTCGCTCCGCCTCCTTCGATTCGACTTTCTCTTCCTGACTGTGCCCCTTGGTCTTGCCCTCGCACTTGGTCTCGATCCCGCACTTGCTCACAGCTTTTAGATTGCTGGAATTGCGGAGGACTTCTAGCTACGTAGTCTACGAGCAAAAACTGCTAACCAAGAAAGCCCGAGCGTATAGACACGTCAATACAAAACGGAGAACAAGACCCGTGGCGCGGATCCCGGGAAACAGAACGGAGAGCATCTGGGATGTCCGGGAGGTCAATGCGAGACACAGCAGAGCCTTTGGAGATGTGTGTGCAGCACACAAGCCAGGCATGGCAGCATGGTAGCAGGCAGGAGTGTGAAATCTAGACCAACTCGTTCACGATTCCTGGTCAGGTCACAGACGAGGGAGAAGTGAGGAGCATTACAGTATTCAGTTCAGGGAATTGCGAAGGAGGAATGGATGAGTGACGTGGCGTGATGGGGATGCTTGTAAGATTCGCGACACTGGGGTTGCCGGGGCGCGCGAATTTGCGGAGTCGGTGGGCGGCGCAAGATTTTCCCCTGGCGAAGGCGGACTTCTTCAACGAAGGGTATCCGAAGATAAGGGAGTTGGTAACACGAGTCTGTTCTCTTGGTGGAGTGGAATGAATATCTATCAACGCTGAGCTAGGATGGTGTTGGGCATGATATACTGGCAAGGGGGGGACCACACCACACTCTTTACTCAGTGACGCGCAATTTGCGCGGGTTATCACCACCAGCCTGATGAGTGCGGCAGAATGTCAGGGAGGGCAAATGACGAGTTTTCTCCCAGAACACTCTGAGTTTCACGGGCAATGCTTCACACAACCAGGGGTTGTGAGGGCCCATTCGGAGCTCTTGTCAGACCTCACAGAAGGCGAGACTGGCACAAAGTTGGATGATCGCAACATCAGAAGTTGGCCGGTCAGGGTAAGAGAGGTAAGTACCGAACGAGAGCTTGGAAGACCAGAGTGGAGGCAAACAACTCTGTTCTGAGGCCTGCAAGATATTGAAATAATGTTTAGTGGGTCCATCAATTGAAAATTATAATGTAGTGCGTGCATTGGACGACTACTGTTTCGGATTGCAATGGGCATGTGCATTGTGCATCCTGCCTGGGCATTCTATGTTCACCAGAAATCCTAAGGCAGCATTTTGACTGGTCGAATTTCTGCCACGAACGTCAGCAACGTATCCCGCGCTGAGAGTGAAGAAACCAGTTTGTGGGTTGTTCCAGATTGTTCACCAAGCAAAACCAGTGTTGGGGCATGTGAGAAATCTGAGGTTCAACCACGACAGGGCAGCCAGATTTCTGTGTGTACGTCAGATCCACCACAGTTGCTGGTGTAGCTGAGGTCAGGCGTTCGAGATGGGTAATCACCTGCTACATAGCAGGTGCAAGGTTCCTAAATCGCAGGTAGCCCCATCCCAAACTAACTAAACTCCTAAGGACGTGGTGCAGATCGGCCCGATCTGAGTCCGATTGCCTCAGATTGGGGCAGTCCACCATTTCTGAGAAATCGCAGGGGTATTTCGAGGCAATCGCATGCAATCAGGGGCAATCTCGTGATTGTGATCGAAAACCCGGTCGATAGAGATCTATCGCCCCGATCTCACGCAATCGATTGCAATCGATAGATTGCTTCAAACCGCGGGGCCTGGCGACAGTTGCGAACGATAACTCATGCTGCCGAACTTCAGCAGTACTCGCAAAACCATTGGATATTGTGATATTAGAACTTAGACGAAGGGCATGGAAGAATCGAGAACGTCAGAAGGGGCTACTTTGTAATTGGGCGATCCAAAACTCGCTGGGTGTCGCCATTTCTGACTGGAAGAAACTTGTCAACTGCCTGGTAACCGCGTTGATGTTTCTAACAGACTTCCATGAGATTCATGGTCAGATCGCGCGGCTCGGGACGCAATCGACAGATTGCCTCGGATTAGGACAATCTCACCGGTTCCGATCCGACCCGACCCGACCGACAGCAATCAGACTAAGATCGGCCCGATCTGCACCACGTCCTAAATTAGGTTATTGAACTCAATCTCTGGTATCCTATATCTTTGTCTGCTTTGTATCATACAGGATTGGCTATTTGCACACAGGTACCTTATGACTAATATTTATTTATAATATCATTTATGCATAATTCTTAGGTTCATGCAGTTCAACTAAAAGGTCCGATAATGATATTTTATTGTATTGTCAGTATGACTTATTGTCGTATTCATACGGTTCATACTTATTCGAATTAATATGTCTAATTTATCACTTAGATACGTTTCCGCTCACAAGGTATGAAGGATTGCCTAGTATACTTCAATTGGCAGGCCCGCATATAAGTCATTTACGAAAAAAATGTGTGCAATAAATAATGCTAATTAATTCATCGTTTCTCATAATTAACAAGATATCAAGAATCGCATCACTTCTTGCAACGTCGTACAGATAAACGGTGTATGTGCCCGTATTTTTTGTACATCATACATCTCAATGTTACTGTGTCGACGTGTATCATCGCCAGTTCTGATCCTGTAAATCAACTTACGGATAATGTTATCGTACATGCTCTTATCGTCAAGTACATTATGCTGAAATTGTTAACGGGAGTGAAGTGTTGGCCTCGCCCTCGCTTGGGCAACGCCGACGACTTGGTCAGATGTACAGGAGAAGCAGGCGATCGTTCACAGTGAGGGAAATGCTCGACGGGCTTCGTCGAGCTGCAGGGATCACTGTGGTGTTGCCGTCGACCAAGGGTGCTCGACGGTTGCAGCTGACTGGGCTAGTCGACGGGTGGGCCGTCGACTGGAAGGAGTTCTTCGACGGGGAGGTCGACGGAGCAATCCGTCAACCTGACATGTGAGCAGCGGTCGACGAGGGGAGCTTGGCGATAGCAGCTGACAATGCAGGTCGACAGAGGGGCTCGTCGATCAGGGTGTTGCTCGACGGAAGGCGTGGTCGACCAGAGTCGCTTGGTGGTCGTCGAGAGGACCTGCTGGTCGACCAGGTCGACCAAGTTACCTGCTCGGCGAAATCTGCGGAGGCACGCGAACATCGACGAGGTCGTAGTGACGAAGGCGGCTTCTGGGTAGTATACCGAAGTCGATGTGGCTCGTCAAGCGCAGACAACACCGGATGCACAACGGTGCAAGTCAGGCCAATCGTCTGCTCGCACCTGCGAGCGTGCGCCCTGCTCCCATCTACGGGTGCAACGGTGGACAGCCGCACTGCTGCAGTGTTGGCACGCCGTCGACCTACAGTGTTGGCAGGTCTAAGAAAATGAGAACGAGAATGAATGAACTATGAGTGAAGTGGGTACAAGTACTAACCCTAATTGGGTTGTACCCCCTATGGGATACCCCACTACAGCCTACACAAAAGCATAAGCTATAATGTTATGACACACCCCCATAGGCAAAGTGGGGGAGAACAGGGGGTCATAAGACCAGTCAAGCAAAGCAAAACAAAGCAAAGCTCAGGGTGGATCACAAAGTCACCACACATTCCGAGCACAAGTACAAGGCCACAAGGCCAGTTCACATGCAGGAGTACATATATATATAAGGTTAGACAAGCAAGAGTTGGTATATATATATGTAACAGTACAAGCAAGGTCAAGAGGTGAGCAAGTGAGGCAAGACAGGTACAAGACCCAGCTGGGTGCAGAAGCGCTGATGATCACAAGGCGCAAGTGCCTTGGTGAAGACATCAGCAGTGTTGGCCTCAGAGGCCACGTACGCAAGCCGCAACTGACCACGCTGCTGTAGCTCACGAGCAAGGAAGTAGCGGAGAGCAATGTGCTTTGTTCTGTGCTCCAGTCTCTGCTCTCGACACAAGGCCAGCATGGCCTTGTTGTCTACGTACAGCACTGGAGGAGAACGAGGCGGCTCTCCGAGGTAAGTCAGCAGGTAGGTGAGCCAGCGAAGCTCCTGTGCAGCCATGGCCCCAGCGTAGATCTCAGCCTCACAACTGGAGCCGAGAACAGAAGACGAGCGAGTAGCCTGTCGAGAGAATAAGTGAGTTAAGAGGTGGGGCCTAGGCTTAGTAGCCTAGGCCCGAACTTAGGTATCGAGAGGGTTTTCACCTAGGCAAGGTGTCGAGTGAGTTGAGAAGGGAAATTTGAGAATGAAGATGGTTTCACTATAGGTTCAAGGGTACATATAGCATAGAAACCAAATAAGGTGCACCACCACCAACAGTTTACATAACTACACTAACTACAACTACAAGCAGTTATAAAACATGACAAAATATTTCGACACGCCCCCATAATGCTTGTAGGTAGATGTGTAGTTCCAGCATAGCAAGCAACAGCAGGTACCCCTTCCGTCTCCTCACCCTCCTCCTTCCCCTCCCCCACACTGCTGCAGGAGCAGCAGAGAAGGGGGGGAAGAGAGGAGAGGTGGAGGGACGGCTGCATGTTGCCTCACACCCGCCACCCCGTTACCACTCCCCCTGCTCCCCCACATCCTCACACCCTCCCCCCCCAGCGGCAGCTGCAGCGGTGGGACTGAAAGAAGGAGGAGGGGAAGGGAGAGAGGTGATGCCACACTCCAACACCCTCCACCCCCATACCCTCCTCCCCACGGATGCAGGGAGACAAAGGAGGAGGGGGTGGGAAGGAAGAAAGCCGCAGAGCGGCGAAAAGGCGTCGGTGCAGATGGGTCAGGGGCGGCTCCAGGGAGTGCAGGGGCGGAAAGGCCCGTCGCGGGCCAGTGCCACGGGGCGCACGACGGGTAGAAGAAGAAAACAGGCCCGATCGTGCGCCTAGGGGCGCACGACGAGCAGGGCACCATCGTGTGCCACGGGGCGCACGATGGGCAGATGAAGGGCACCGTCGCGTGCCACGGGGCGCGCGACGGGCAGAGAAGGAGCCACACACCCGTGG